CATTGCTTTCTCCAGCTCATTTTACAGATGAGGGAACTGAGGCAAACAGGGTTAAATGACTTGCCTAGGGTCACACAGCTAATAAGTGTCTGAAGTCAGATTTGAACTCAGGAAGATGAGTCGTTCTGATTCCAGGCTGGGCAGTCCATCCATTGTGCCACCTAGTTGCAGCCACAATAGATTAACATAGGTTTATTTGAGTTAGAAAAATGTAATAATGAATGAAACAGATCATATTTTGTTTAAATAGTAACACCAATTTAATTGGGAGCTGTTGAGTGGAAAAACAAATGATGGGTGCATTATAGAAATTACTTTGGCAGGGGTGTGAAGGACAAAAGAAGTGGGAAGAGACTGGACTTCCATAGATGATATCCAGGAGTTTGTTATGGTAATCCAGGCAAGAGGTGATAAGAGCCTGGGATAGTTAAACAGAAGACTAAGAGAACAGTACCTTTGAGGAGGAAAAAGGTAGTTGTCTAAAGAGAATCGTTGTAAATATACAGGGAATTCACCAACAACTTAGATTTTTGAGACATGCTGAACTAGGGTAGTTAAATGGAGTACAATTATAAAAGCATGGTCTACTGCAATAAGCAGAGTGTCCAGATTGCTAAATCTCAGAAAGTGTTAAGGCTGGCCAGGAAAATTAAGGATATTTTTAAAAGTCTTTTAAAGCTATATGGGAAAAGAGGAGGTACAAAGAAAAGATGGGACCATTGCTTATGCTAGATGGGACAATGATAACTCAACATAAAGAAAAGTAGGGCCACTCAGCTTGTATTTTGATTGGCTTTGTTTTGTCTTGGTTTCCTGTCAAGGAGGTTGTCTAAAGACCAAAAAGGGCAAAATAAAAATAGCTAATAGAGGAATCGATTCCCCTGCCAGATAAGATGGGTAGTAAGAGAGCCCCTAGATACCTTGATGAATTCAAGCCAGCTGACCCAAAGGCACTACTCTAACCCTGGGTGCTGAAAGAACTAGCAGTGATATTTGAAAGATTGTTAAAAACTAGGAATACTACCATTTTGAAGAGGGGTAAATGTGTCAATTTTTCTTCTTTTAAAAATTTTAAATAAGATTTTATTTCCCCCCAATTATGTGTAAAGACATTTTTAATATTCATTTTCAAAAATTGAGTTCCAAATTTTCTCCCTCTCTTTCTTTCTCACATCAGTTTTCAAAGAAAGACAGAGAATAGAACTTCCAAACTATACCCCCAATTAATTTGACTTCAATTTCTGGGAAAATTCTGGAATATATTATTAAGAAGATAGTGATTAGCTAGAAAAGGAAGTAATGATCATAAAGAGGCAGCATGGCTTCATCCAGAACAAGTCGTACCAAACTACTTTATTTCCTTTTTTGATGGGGTTACTAAACTGGTAGATCAGGAAGATGTTGTAGATATAGTTTACCTAGTTTTTAACAACGCATTTGATAAACTGTCATACTATTATTGTAGAGTAGATGGAGAAGTGTGGGCAAAATGATAGTACAATTAAGTGTACTCTCGTATACGTAGATAATACAATCTAAACCTGGCCCAGAGAGTAGTCATTAATGGTTTAATGTCAACATAGAAAGGGATTTCCATTGGATTTCCCCAAGATTCTATGCTTTGCCCTACTGTTTTTTGTTGGGGAAAGGCAGTTGAGGTTAAGTGACTTGCACAGGGTCATTGTGTCTGATGCTGGATTTGAACTCAGTCCTCCTGACTGCAGAGCCTGTGCTCTATCCACTGTGCCACCTACCCACCCATTTTGCCCTACTCTCTTTAATCTTTTTATTAATGATTTGGATATGTGGAATACTTATCAAATTTGTAGATAATAAATCTGTGAGGAATACTTAATATACTGGATGACAGAATCAGGATTTTTAAAAAATGTCACAGGCTAAATAGAAAAATTGACCAAATCAAATATAACATTTAGTAGGGATAAATGCAAAGTCTCATACTTGTATTCAGAAACATTCCCAAGCACAAAATGGTGAGTTATGGCTAGACAGCAGTTCATCTGAAAAAAGATTTGAGAATTTTAGGGGACTGCAAAGTGAATATAAGCCAGCAGTTTAATATGGTATCCGTGAAAGCTAATGCAACCTTGAGCTGCATTGAGAGCCGTGGTATCCAGAAAGAAGGAGATGATCATCCTGCTATTCTCTGCCCTTGTCAGTCTCTTTGGGAGTGTTGTGGTTCATGTCTAGGTGCCACATTTTAGGAACTTTGATAAGCTGTAGATTATCTAGACAAGGGCAACCAGGATAGTGATGGGGTTCAGTTTCATTTTGTAAGAGATCAGTCGGGGGCAGCAAGATGGTGCAGCGGATGGAGCACCGGCTCTGAAGTCAGGAGGACCTGAGTTCAAATCTGGCCTCAGACCAAACACTTGACACTAGTTGTGTGACCATGGGGAAGTCACTTAACCCCAGTTGTCTAAAAATTTTAAAAAAACTTTAAAAAAGATCAATGGAAGGGATTTGGGCTTTTAGCCTAGAAAATTAGGGGAAAAAAAACATAGGAAACATATGATAGCTGTTTTAAAGTTTTTGAAGAGCTGTCATTTGGAAGAGAGGTTAGCTTGGGCCTAGAGGGCAAAACTAAGAATAGAATATGGTAGTCACAAAGAAGGCTTGAGGTAAGGGAAAATGTACGAACAATGAAAGCTATCCAAAAGTGGGCTGCCCCTGGAGATAGAGGGTTTTCCTTCACTTGAGATCTCTAAGCAAAGACTGGAAAACACTTGGATTGGATGCGTTGTAGAGGGCATCCTATTTCAGGTATGGTTTGACGTGATGGCCTCTGACATCCCTTCCACCTCTGAAGTTATGTGATCTTCCATCATTTCCCAAATCCAAGATGTATGTTCTCTTGATCCAAAACCATGACGTTCATTAAAGTGTTTTCCTGATATGTGATTGAATAATAAACTGGGTTAAGTGCATTCCTTCTGGAGTATTCCCTCTCTGATTTCTTTCTTTCTTATACTAGCTAAAATACTGATTGCACTTGTTCCATAGGTGATTTTACTGTGGTCTCAATCAAAAAGCACCAAATAAAGTATGCTGCTCAAATGTTGCTCTGCAACATGGCACAACCTCAAAATAGATGCTGGCTGGCATCCACCCTACTTCTCACTGTTGGCTGACTGGCCTGCCCCATAAATAGCTCCCTGTTATGTGATCGGATAACTACAACTTTAGAAAAGTAAAGTTTGTTTCCTGACACATGGGTGTACTATCTGTAGCATTTAAAAAATCTATAGCAAATACTCCAGATCTTAGCTATAGCAGATCACTTTCCTTAGAGTCCCTGCTGTAGGGCTGCCTGAGGTTTTTTGACTTTTTGATAACTAAATCCCCTTGGATGGGCTCTAAAACAAATAGACCTGCCATATATAAAATTCCATTCTATAGTAAGTGGGGGTATAGTGAGATTCCATTTGAGCTTTTGTACAGGAAAGTGATTTCGTGCTTTGCTCTCTGAGATCTGGACTGATCCAATTTATGATGATGATTGGGATGTAGACTTTCTGGTGATGTTGAGATGGAGGCTGTGACAACCTAGGCAAACAAAGGGCTGATCCTGATTTTTTTGGTAAAGTAGCACATTTTCTAAAATTGAGGAAGTCTTTTTTTAAAAATTACATTTTGAGGCAGCTAGGATAGCTAGTGGATAGAGCACCAGCCCTGGAGTCAGGAGGACCTGAGTTCAAGTCTGTCCTCAGACACTTGACACTAGCTGTGTAACCCTGGGCAAGTCACTTAACCTCGATTGCCTCACCCCCTCAAAAAATATTTTTTCCCAATTACACATAAAAATAATTTTTAACATTCATTTTTTAAAATTTTGAGTTCCAAATTCTCTCTCCTTTCCCCTTCCCTCTCCCGGAGGTGGTAAGCAGTTTGATATAGGGTTATACATGTACAATCAGGCAAAACATATGAAATTGAAAACATCTTAAAGAATGATATTAATCTGCTTATTTTTGATCCATTATGTGTTTTCTCAATGTCCTCCCTGACTTTGATTGGAATGTGCTGATAATGAGCTTTTAAAGTGTGTAATGTAGCTGAGCATTGCTTCAGAAATGCCATGGCATTAGACTATGAAATTGAATCTTGGAGTCTTTTCCCCAAATGTACACTTTTAGAATGCAGAGTCCTATATGTTACTGTACTGTGAAGGTTAGCAAGCTATATAATATTTTGTTAGACACCAGACATCAGACATGGTCACCCTTCCTTTTCGTGAGTTTGCTTTAAAGTAATTCTGTATTATATTCACTAAAATCAAAGGATCCCAAACCCCTACCACTGTTTATTATTTCCCTTTATGATGTTGAATTGTCATTTTATTTTGTCAGCATTGGGAGGAGCAGAAAGAGTAGCTATTAAATAGTGACTATTAAGGCAGCTAGGTGGCGCAGTGGATAGAGCTCTGGCCTTGGAGTCGGGATGACCTGAGATCAAATTTGACCTCAGATACTTGACGCTTAGTAGCTGTGTTACCCCGGGCAAGTCAGTTAACCCCAATTGCCTCACCAAAGTAAAAGTTAAAAAAAAATAGTGACTATTAAAGATTGTTCTGTGCTCTATGCCAAGGGTGAGGCCTTTTGACTTAATCCAGGTGTTACAGGGCAAATCCTTTTATTAAGAGGATTTGTTCTGTGAAGTTGGTATTCAGTCAGAGGGCTACATTTGAGGACCTAGAAGGCCACAGGTGGCCTCAAGGCCCCAGGTTCTCCACCCTGCTCTCTACTGATACTTTTGTTCTGGGGATTTCCTAGACGTTAGCTGCATCAACCTTGTCAGACAGCTACTTATGACCACTCTAAGTGACATTAGTGTCAAATTATGATAAAATCCAACATAATGTTGAAATCTTTCAGACATGATCACTATCACTAGGAGGGGTTATAACCATGATTGCTTTACAGCTTCTCTTACATTAATGGTTTTTAAAAACAGTAACAAAATGTGGTTGGTTTATTTAGCAGGTTGTGAACAATGGCTATGTGGATCCAAGCCCAACAGCTCCAGGGAGATGCCCTCCACCAGATGCAAGCCTTGTACGGCCAGCACTTCCCCATCGAGGTGCGGCATTACTTATCCCAGTGGATTGAGAGCCAAGCGTGGTATGTAGTCTGGTTTTACTTATATTTTAATAACTTAGGGTACTTGGTGGGACTCTAGAAATGTTGATCTTTGCTTAAGAAGAATGTTGGAAAATTAATTTAGGCTTTAAAATTCTGTCTTTATGCAGAGAATGGCTGGAAGTGGGAGGGGAGGAGTAGGAGTCTTTGGGAATTTTTCTTCAGGGTATCAGCTAAAAAAATTAGAAAATTATTTTTGTTGTTGAGTCTTTCCAGTCTTGATCTGACTCTCCGTGAGCCCACTTGGGGTTTTCTTGGCAAAGGTAACAGAGTGGTCTACCTCCAGTTCGGTTTATAGATGAGGAACTGAGGCAAACAGGGTTAAGTGACTTGCCCAGGGTCACACAGCTAGTAAGTACCTGAGGTGGCATTTGAACTCAGGTCCTCCTGTCTCTAGGGCCAGTGTTCTATGCATTGCACCACCTAGCTGCCTGTTAGACCATTGTGAGTGAATATCCACCATCAAGTTATATTGTGAGCTGCCAAAGGGTACAAAACATTGTATGAGTGCTTGAGTCAGCATTAAAAAAAAAAAGTGTGGCTTTTTTCCTAATGAGATGGATAAAACTGACAAACTTGTATCCAACAAAAATTGCCACAAAATGTAACCTGCCCTCTCCTATATGATGTCTTTGTCAAACAAAAACCTTGGCTATCAGAGTGTCACTTTCTATCAGCCCTAAAATTAGGTATTTCAGGCTTAAAACAGTAGTGAATTGAAGCGTTCTTAGAGATTTTAAAATACAATTCATCCTGGTTGCCATGTTAGTGTAGGTGCCTCAGGCCTCTCCTGTTTGACAGGCCTAGGGAAGAACCATACTTAGTTGCATTTCAGTGATTGTGCCACTGAATGGATAGAAGTGACATGTTAGCAGATTTCCATTTAGAAGAGTGACATTGGACAACTCCAAAAAGGCTAAGAGTTTTCTGTGCAGCTTTAAAATGCCATAGGCATGAAATCAGCTGTGAGTTCATAAAATCTAAGCATGTCAAATGTACTTTGCTTACTGTCTCTCCTGATTTTTTCACTTAGATGCTTTTTTAGGGACAGGATGTTACATTTTTTTTATGGGAGGTTAATGGGAAAAGGCAGAGAAATAATAGCAAGTTGCTGTTCAAATTTTAAAGCTCCACTAAACAGTTTTACCATATAATCTCTGTATTAAATGACTATTAAAGAATTGTTTTAGGTTCATAATACAGCTTTACGTCTTAAGGTTGTGTGAGTGATTATATCAGTATAAGAACTTTAATGAGAAAAATCTTGTCCTTCAGGTCTAAACAGGACAAGTAAAACTGTTCACATCACTAAAATGAGTCAATAACTCAGTTCTGAATTGAGGAAAATTAGATTTCTCCAAATTTTACTCAAAGTTTAAAACAAAACAAAACATCTGGAGAGTACAGGGAGCCTCCAGCAAGGAGATTCTGCCAAAGTCAGCATTCTTGATACCTTCTGTTCACTTTTATTTAATGAATCTAATGCACCTTTTTAAAGTTTGCTTTTCCTTCCTCTTTTTCCCCCAGTGTTGGTTTTGCTATATTATTTGTTAGAGTAAACAACCGAATCTTTGAATACTTCTGTTTATGCCTACATTTGAAAACAGATGCATTGGCTTCAGGGGATGGGCAGTGAAATATAGTAGTACTGGGTCACTTGTTTGGATCCAGCCCAGGTCAGTTGTGACTGAGAGTTATTTCAATCTGACAGCTGTTTGGTTCCTTCTGTGAATGGAGTTAGCCGTTTTAGTACTGTCTAGAAGCAATTGTTCAGAGTTACCAAAATAAACAAACAAAATCCAATTCTAAGATCCTACGCTTTCCATTTTTTAAAGTAGCTCATTCATTCATTCAGTGTTCACCTACTATGTGCCAGACACTGGGAATGCAAAGATCAAAAAAAGGAGTTTCGGCTGTGAAATAACTTACATTCTCTTTTTGGAGATAACATGGTGTACACATTTAAGTAAATAGACAAAATAATTTCTAGGAAGGAGGGAATCAGGAGTAGGCCTCCTGTAGGAGGTGGTATTTGAACTGAACCTCATTCTCCATTACTGGAGTATTAACACTGCCCTGGTCTATAATTTGTGGTATTAGTGGCTACCTTTCACAAACATTGTGGGTTATCTTCTTCCTAAATGGTTTGTTTCCAATATTTAATGATAACAATACAGAGAAGTTGACCTACTGTGTTTGTGTTGCTGTTCCTTCCCTGTCTACATGTCTCATCCCTGATTCTGTCAGAGAAATAAATCACTGTGAGGGGAGGGATGTGCAAGATTGCCTTCAGGCAGTACTTTTCTAGACTCTGGGAAAGTGGTACATTCAGTTGGGGGTATTGCTGTATTTAGTCAAAACTGAGAGGACCACATACCTGTCAAAGTTCCAGAACTCTTATTGTCCATAAAGTACATGGAAATGCTCCTTCTCCCTTTGTTTCCAGGAGCTAGCAAAAGCACCCCAGAGCAGACCTGTGGGAGAAAGGACAAGGGACAGTGCTTTGTAAAAGAAAAGAAAAGGAAAGAAACTAGACTATACAGTACAGCCAAGGTAATCAGCAAATGAGGATTAGATGAATATAGGCATCCAGTTGATTTACATGGAGCAGGCTTCTGAAAATTTCCTGATTGGGCACAAAGAGGCAGTTCATTTATTTATTTTTAAAGATATTTTGCTGTGAGTTGAGGTTTTAAAATGCACATGTAGAGTGCATGTGTATATACACATATGTGTAATTTTTTTTTCCCCCAGGGACTCAATAGATCTTGATAATCCACAGGAGAACATTAAAGCTACTCAGCTCCTGGAGGGTCTGATCCAGGAGCTACAGAAGAAGGCTGAGCACCAAGTGGGGGAAGATGGGTTTTTACTGAAGATCAAGCTAGGGCATTATGCCACTCAGCTGCAGGTGGGTGTGAAATCTGGGTGCAGTTACTCCTTCCTCCCAAGGAAATCTGCTACTTCTTTTAGAGCTCTCATCCCAAAGGGAAATTACATTTGCTTCTTTATCCCATTGTTTCTTTGTGTCATGTCTAAGAGGTACCAATTGTAAATGGGCTCTAGATTTGTTGATGTAGGATATATGTTTTTGTAATTTACTCTGTACCCTGATCAGGACATATATTTGCTTATTAATGTAGTTGCATGGTTAAAAATGCCTCCATTATGAGTTCTTTTTAGAACACAAGATCAGAGGTGTGAGGGTGCTTTTCACTAATAAATAAAAACTTACATTTCTCAGAGGATAAATAGGTCCCTATAGCTTAGACAGGCCTACTTGATATTTGATGTTTGTTTCCTTCAGAATACTTATGACCGCTGCCCCATGGAGTTGGTCCGATGCATCCGGCACATATTATACAATGAACAGAGGCTGGTCCGAGAAGCTACCAACGTGAGTGTCTTAGAGAGCCCAACAGCATCCTCTCTCGTCAGACTCTCTCTGTGTCACTGTGTGACTCTCTTGAGTGAATTTCTCCTATGCACAGAAGACTGTCCCAAGGACTACTGAGGGGATACCAAAGAAATAGGAAAGATGATTCATGAGCCAAGTAACTTAACATCTGATAGGAGACATAGGACACCCATGTATCAAATGATTTGATTTTAATGATAAAGCATCACAAATAGGGGTAAATGAATAAAGTTCAAAGAGTGAGAAATGCTGAGGCTCGAGTTTTGATGAATCAGGTGATGGCTGAAGATGCTGGAACAGGTGTCTGATTCTGAGCCAGGCCTTTTGAAAACCATTTTAAATTTTTGTTGATATCTTTTGGTTTTGTGTCACCTTCATTTCTAAATATATCCTTCCCTCTACCTTCCCCTAAACTGCGGACCATCCCCTGGAAGAGAGGGGGGAAAAGTCAGTCAGCAAGTTTTTTTTTTATTAATTTATTTTTAGTTTTCAACATTCACTTCCACAAGCTTTTGAGTTTTAAATTTTCTCCCCTTTCCCCTCACCTCCCTCCCCAAGATGGTGTGCAGTCTGATATAGGCTCTACATATACATTCCTATTAAACACATTTTCACATTAGTCATGTTGTAAGGAAGAATTAGAACCAATAGGAGGAACCACAAGAAAGAAGAAACAAAACAAAACAGAAGATAAAAAAAAAAGCAAATAGTATGCTTCCATCTGCATTCAAACTTCATAGTTCTTTCCCTGGATGTGGATAGCATTTTCCATCATGAGACTTTTGGAGATATCTTAGATCTTTGAATTTCCGCAAGCATTTCTTAAGCATTTACTATTTTCCAGGCACTGTGCTAAATGATAGTGATACAAAGAAAGAAAAATACCCTACAGTTTCTGCTCTCAAGGAGCTCATACTCTAAAAAGGAAAGAAAAAAGGCTGTTTAGCATAACTAACCGATGCATAATTACACCTAATGGTACAGAAAAATGTTAGATTCCCCTGTCTCTCCATTCCTCCATTCTTCTCCTCTCTATTACAAACCTGCTCTGGGAGAAGCTGCTGTCTCTAGCAGATTTGATGTAGTGGGAGTAAGAATTAGGCTTTAGTGGGAGTAAGAATTAGGCTTTGATTATGAATCGTTCTCTGTGAAGGATGAGGATGATGCTGTTTTTGGAGATGTTGAGGATTCCAAATCCTCTCCATCTGAGGGTCATATCAATTAGTAGTGGGCTGGAAGATAAGCTGGTTGATACAGAGCAAAATGTCTTGAAGGAAATAAATCACTGGGTGCTTGGTGCTATGGAAACCTGGCTACATTAGCCTTGTAAGTCAATGGGTGTGTGGGGAGAAGAAGAGCTGAAATCTCTTTGGGAGACTGTGCCATCTACATGGCTGGAACATTTTATTCCATAGCAAGGCAGAAGAGCTGAGTGATTTATCCAGGTGGGGGTCAGCCTGCAGTCTAAGAAGGAGGAGTCCTCATTGTTAGTGAAAATCCCCCAATGATCCTCTGGCACAATCCCTCTCCTTATGCCTTCTAGGGAGCCCATTGAGGATTTCCTCAGGGGAGACTAGGCCTGAAACAAACCAAGATTCCTTTTTTCTTTAGAGCTGTGCCCTGTAAGAGTCTCCTAGTCTTCGGGGTAGCTACGTGGCGCAGTGGATAGAGCACCGGCCCTGAAGTCAGGAGGACCTGAGTTCAAATCTGGACTCAGACCAAACACTTGACATGTACTAGCTGTGTGACCCTGGGCAAGTCACTTAGCCCCAATTGCCTAAAAGCAAAAAACAAAACAAAACAAAACAAAAACAACAAGAGTCTCCTAGTCTTCCTAGGTGACTTTTTTCCTTTCCGTAGCCCAAATGGTAACTGTCTTGTCCTCGTGGCTAAAGGCTTGGGAGTCTGTGGAGTGTGCCACAGAGAGCCACTGGCTGTGCCTGAGGCCTCAGGGCCCTCTGATGATGTGACCCTGCTGCCTCTGCCTCTGCAGTGTAGCTCTCCAGCTGGGAACCTGGCTGATGCTATGTCCCAGAAACACCTGCAGATCAACCAGACTTTTGAGGAGCTGCGACTGGTCACTCAGGACACAGAGAATGAGCTGAAGAAGCTGCAGCAGACTCAGGAGTATTTCATCATCCAGTACCAGGAGAGCCTCAGAAACCAGGGTGAGGCCAGTGGGGCTGGAGTCAGGGCTGGGGGTGAAGGTGGGACCAGGAAGCACCAAGAGAGCTCAGGACTGGAGAGAAAAATGGGTCTCCTGGTTTGGGGCATTGGCCTTGGGCTGGAGCTGTCGGGGAGCCCCATCCCTGAGAAATGGAGAGCAGTGGCAAAGGGGCTAAAGAAGAAGGGAGGGACCTGATCTCTACCCTCACCCAGCTTCTAGTCCAGTGGGGAAACTGGTTCTACTCTCAGGCAGCTCCCAAGCTAAGTGTGATACTGGCCACTGCTGTGACCACAGCGGGTGCTTTAAAAACACCCATCATCTCAGTCTCCCCCAAACAGGAATGTTCCTTAGAACACAAAGATACCACGGTCTGCCCAAGCAGGGATGGTAGGAATTGGTTGAATTTGAGAGTTTGTGGGAGGCCTTGCTTCAGGAAGGCTTCCAGGAGGAGGTGTCTGTGGAGCAGCTGAGCAGCTCAGCAGCTCAGTGCTCCCAGCTGAACAGCTCTTCCTTTGAGCAGGGCATAGTGTCTGCCTTGTGCCCAGGATGCAGCAGCCTTCAGAGTAGAAGAAGCAGGCTGGGGCTGTCCATGGGAAAAAGCACTTGTGGAGCTCTAGGAGCTCCCTCTCCTAGCCTTCCAGGAGTTGCTTCCCTTAGGCTGGAGCCTGGCCTTGTCCCAGGGGGAGCCAGACAGGCATGCTGTCAGAAAGGCCAGGCTCAAGTGCCTGGGCTGGGAGCACAGTTGGAGACAGCCAGAGCATGAGCACCCTCTCTCAGGCTGTTCTGAGATCAGACAGCTTCCCCTCACTTTGCACCTTCTGTGGGATCATGGCATTCTGGTGTCTGTCTTCTGACTCTTGAACACACACACACACACACACACACACACACTCTCTCTCTCTCTCTCTCTCTCTCTCTCTCTCTCTCTCTCTCTCTCTCTCTCTCTCTCTCTCTCTTTCTCTCTCTCTCTCTCTCTCCCTCATCACATTCCTCATCTGGGAGAAGCTGCCATCCCCAGGCAGATGGGAGGGAGTGTGGAGTATGAATTGGGCCCTGACTGTCCATTGTTGTATTTGGGGGACAAGGATGAGGCTGTTTCTGGATAGGTTGAAGACCTCATGCCTCCATCATCTAGAGGCATGATAGGAATGGCTGAACAAGATGCTGGTTGGTGTTGGAGAGGCGGGTGAAAGTAGGAGGGCGGTGGCTCAGAGGGATCTCTCCCCTTTTTGGAGGGGAGGGTATCCCTCACTGTGGGCCTTTCTGTCTCCTGATCAGAAGGTGCCTGGGTCCCCAAAGCTTCCTGGGTGAAGGCTAAAGGGCAGTGTCCTGGTCTGTTCGTGTCCCCCACAGCTCAGTTTTCCCAGCTGTCACAGCTGAGCCCCCAGGAACGCTTGACAAGGGAAACAGCACTTCAGCAGAAGCAGGTGTCCCTGGAGGCCTGGCTGCAGCGGGAGGCCCAGACTCTCCAGCAGTACCGCGTGGTGAGCTCCTTCCTTTCCACTCTGTCCTGGGCATGAGTGATGGGGGGTGAGGGGTGGTGGGGATCCTCACCTGGGCAGCCACATCCTGATCTCTTCTGGGGGGAGGAGAGCCACAGAGCCAGGCAGGGCGGCTGCAGGGGATTCCCTTCTCTGTGGGGAATGTGGACCAAGAGAAGTGAGCAAGCCTGTGAGAAAAGACCTTCCCTGTCATTTTCCTCTTTGTTAAGGGGAGCAGAGATAGGCTGTGCTCTGAGCCCTCCACGGGACCTGGCCTTCACCCTGTGGAGTCAGAACCCCTGGCTTCTAATCCCAGCTCTGTCCCTTACCACTGCTCCCTGTGGGGACTGGAGCTGGCCCTCTCTGGACTTGTCTGCTCATGGGTCAAGTGAGCGGGTTGGACCAGAAGAGCTGTAAGGTGGCTCCCAGCTTTGTCTCTGATCCAGTGACCTTGGCAGGAGCTAGCAGAGAAACATCAGAAGACCCTCCAGCTGCTCCGGAAGCAGCAAACTGTCATTCTGGATGATGAGCTGATCCAGTGGAAGAGAAGGCAGCAGCTGGCCGGGAACGGGGGGCCTCCAGAGGGCAGCCTGGACGTCCTGCAGTCTTGGTATGTGAGGGAGGGGCCTTTGGCCGGGGGGCTCCACCCTCAGGGCCGGTCCTGGGGACTCGAGGCTCTGGAGCTCTCCTCCAGACTGAAGGGTTAGGGAAGTTGGCTGAAGCCAAGCACCGCCCCACCCCACCCCAATCCTCCACTGGGAGTTCTTTCCCGTGGTTGGAGAGGAGGTCCCTGCCTAGCATGGGCTGTCTCTCCCTAGGCCAGTACTGGGTCAGCCTGTGTCCTGGACAGTTTAACCCATTCCCTTTGTGTTGCCCTGTGGCCTCCACACCCAGGTGCGAGAAGTTGGCCGAGATCATCTGGCAGAACCGGCAGCAGATCAGGAGGGCTGAGCATCTTTGTCAGCAGTTGCCCATTCCTGGACCTGTGGAGGAGATGCTGACTGAGCTCAATGCCACCATCACAGACATCATCTCTGCCTTGGTGACCAGGTGACTGCTCCCAGCTTCCGTTCATCTTGAGCCAGCCCAGCCTTGGAGAGCAAGGCAGAGTTCTGGGGATCACTGAGCTTGGGAAATCTGGCTGTCCTGTCTTGTACTGTTCTTCTTCCTCTTGGGCTCTTGCTTCTCAGGCTGAGAAGCCTGAACTGAGCTTCCCTGGTTCTCACTCCCCACAGACAGTGTGCTGGAGAGAGGGATGGCTCTCTCTGCTTCTGAGAGAACTCCCCAAGAACAGATGCCCCACCTTCCCTTGTTCCCCCAGGCCAGTGGTCCCTGGCTCCTTTTGGCCTTCTAACTTAGGTCCCTTCCCCTCCCTGCCATCTTCTAACTCTCAGTGTCCTTCTTCTGGATAAGAACGGGGTCATCCATCTTTTACAGCTACAGTCTTCTTAGGGGAGACCCACCCATCCCTAGGAATTGAAAGGGCCCAAGGCCATCCCTAGTACACCTAGCTGCATGACCTCCGGGCCTTGAGAAGCAGCTGTAGTGATTCCCTGTCTGCTGCTTCAGGCTGGGGGGAAAAACTGGCTCATGAGAAGGGACGATGTCATCTGGTGTCAGCAGCATCCTGGATGTCTGGTTATTTCTCTTCCCTCCAGCACCTTCATCATTGAGAAGCAGCCCCCTCAGGTCCTGAAGACACAGACCAAGTTTGCAGCTACAGTGCGTCTCCTGGTGGGTGGGAAGTTGAATGTGCACATGAACCCTCCTCAAGTGAAGGCCACCATCATCAGTGAGCAGCAGGCCAAGTCTTTGCTGAAGAACGAGAACACTCGAAAGTAATGATGGACGCCTTTCCTTCCTATCTGCTGCTTCCCCTGGGGGTCTTGGGCTTTCAAGGAAAGAGTCTTCCCTCCTAGGGAGAGATCTGGATATTAGCCATCCCCTCTCTGATGCCTTGTCTCTCTTCTGTCCTCCTAGTGGAGAGAGGAAAGGGGCATCTGTTAAGGTGCGGTTACTTTATTACCCCGTTCCTCTAGCCTTTCCTCTCCTTCCCTGAGTCAGTGTTCTCTTAGAGCTGATCACTTTTCTGTCCCTGACTGTCCACTAGAGTGAGATAAGTTTTTACTCTACTTTTTCACTCCCCTGGCTTAATTTCCAAACTTTTGCTTTGACCCCTGAAGTTTGTGGGTCCTTGAGACTGTTTTGTTATGGGGGAATCTCTTGTTTGCAGTGATTACAGTGGTGAGATATTGAACAATTGCTGTGTGATGGAGTATCACCAGGCAACCGGCACCCTCAGCGCACACTTCAGGAATATGGTGAGGAGAAAAGGAAAGACAGGGGCATGAAATCTGCCCATTTTGACAAAATCTTGGGCTGCATTGTCATCTCATTTCTTTCTTTTGCAGTCCCTAAAACGCATTAAGAGGTCTGACCGTCGTGGTGCAGAATCAGTAACAGAAGAGAAATTTACAATCCTGTTTGAGTCGCAGTTCAGTGTTGGTGGGAATGAGCTGGTTTTTCAGGTCAAGGTAAAAAAATCTCCCTTCCAACAATGTTGACTTCATCACTTCTGAGTACAGGGCAATTGTCTTTTCCCCAGTACTTTGGTCACCCCCTTCCTTTTACTATTCAGGGATAGAACATGGTGAGATTATCTCAGAGATCCAGTCCTGAGGTCATTCAGAAGATAGTAACAAGACAAGCAATAAGATGCCATAAGCAGATCGAAGCACAGACAACAGATGTAGCATGAAAAATTCCCCAGGCAATTAAAGTGTGAATTTGAGTGCTTGTTGCAGGTATTTTTAGGTGCTTATTACGTGATTCTTTTAAGGACCATTTCAGATTCCTCCTTGTTGTCTGTAAAACCTCGAGAAACTCTATATTCTTTGTCAGCTTCTAAGTTGCATCCCATTTCAAAAATGCCTGGTGCCCCTCGTGTTTACATCAGAGCTAGGTAAAATCATAGTCTTTTTCCTAGAATAGTCCAGATGCTGTGTTCAAGGATCATGGTTGCCTAGAGTTAATGTGAACATTAGGGTGTTGAGATTTGTTAGTCAGAGAAGGAAGAAGAGAAAGTAATGGTTGTGCATTCTGAGATTTTTTGTTTCTTACCTCTAGACCCTCTCCCTCCCTGTGGTAGTGATTGTTCATGGTAGCCAAGATAACAATGCTACAGCCACTGTTCTCTGGGACAATGCTTTTGCAGAACCTGTGAGTATTTTTTTCTGATGTGTCCATGTCTTAATGTCTTCAGACTGATGCTGTGAATCTCTTTGAGGAAATGGTCCCTGTTCCAATTAGAGAAATGTAGTATTCTTTTTTTTAAAATTATTTTATTTCATTAAATATTTCCCAATTATGGAATGTAGTATTCTTGATGAAGCCTGAAACTAGAAATTGGAAGTGACTTTTGCGTTCCTTGTTTTAAAAAAAAATTTATTGCTATTCATTTGCTTTGACATCACTTATATTTCTCAATATACTTCACTGTTCCCTCTTCCAGAGTGTCATTCCCTATAATATAGAATAAAAAAGAGGAGCAAAATAGTAGTTCAGCAAAACTAGCCAGCACTAGTTTTAGTCTAATGTTATTTGTCATATTCTGTACTCTTGAGTTCCTTCTAGTTCCTTTTTATGCCTTATGAGAGGATGAGGTCAGCATGACCCCTGCAGGGTATTTTAGCTAAAAAAAAATTGCATCATGATTTCCTTCCTCTCTAAAAAAGAAGCTCATAGTGCTTGCTTTTGAGATTACCTTTAAGGTTGTTTCCAGTGCTAAAATATGATTTTCCACTTCATTCCAGAGTCATTATCCAAGGAGTTTGTGGGCTGATGTGTAGGACTGCTATTTGGAATTTCATAAGGGGAAGCTTCATGCATTGTGTTTTCCAGCAGAAGTTGTTTTATAAAAGGTCTATCGTCCTTGTTACAACTCCCTTACCACTTATACTGATCGGAGCCTAACATGAAGGCTCTGTTTCTTCTGGGTGGAGATGTGAGATGTGGGACGCACTTAGCATCCATGTCAGTGCTCTTTAAAATACAATTAACTCTCTTTTGCTGTCATCAGAAAGGCTCTGTGAAACAATTTATTGAAATACCTAAGGTGAACTCTCCTTTAAGATTAAAAAAAAAATACTCTGCCCAGAAACTATCTTGTTCTGATGAGAAGGCACCTGTTGTTTTCTGTAATATCTCTGAACAGAATGATTAGGTTCTTCCTTACTGCTTTTTCTGCTTACCACGTAGCCTCAAATTCTCGCATAATCTTGTCCAACCCATAACATTATGGGAAAGTATCTTTTCCAGTATATCAGTGAACTAGACCAGACAAGGAATTTAATTTAGTCATTCAGAGTTCCATAAACCAAAAAATGTAAATTATCTAGGAAAGAACTCCCTGTTTGATAAGAACTACTAAGAAAACTGGAGATGGGAATAATCAGTGGTGGAGAGTAAAAGGGTAGATGTGTTAATTCATTGTTAGTGGAGTTGTGAATTGGTATAACTATTCTGGAAACCACTTTGGCATTATGCACATAAAGTGATAAAAATGTCCATGCCCTTTGACTTAGAAGTCCTACTGCCAGGTAGTATACCCTAAGGAGGTCATTGACAAAAAGAAAGTCTCTACTTATGCTAAAGTATTGATAACAGTTCTTTTTGGGGTACCAAAGAACTAGAAATAAAGTAAATATTAAATAAATAAACTAAAGTAAATAATAAATAAATAAATAATGACGAAAATGAAATAAAGTAATAAAGTAAATTTCCATAGATTGAGAAAGGGCTAAACTAATTGTGCCCCATGAATATATTGGAATATTACTATGCTATAATAAATTATGAACATGAAGAAAACCCCAGATGAGGTCATGAAGAATAGGACATGACTGAAAAATAACTGAACAATAAAATATACGGGAGAAATTTTAAGGGCTTTCTGGAAGGAAGGTAGGGGAGAGATTTATATAGGGAGGATTATTTTTGCATTGTAAGAACAAAGGATATCAATAAAAATCTATTTTTTAAAAGAAATAAACAGTAAGATTTTCCCAGCATGTTTTAAGATATATATATATATATATATATATATATATATATATATATATATATATATAACTGTCACTTCACTTACATTATTTTCAAATACGTGGATATGAGTGAATGATGTGAGATCCAGTCCATTGCATACTGGCTTTCTTCCCCACTAAGTGCCTTAGCTTAGTATCTCTGCACACCCATATCCATTACATCCCTATTCTCTCCATAAGTCTATCCAAAAAAACCACTTTTGGACTGCTCCTTTTAGAGAGGGAGCCTACCCTGAAACAGCTTTCCTAAGTCATGTACCTGAGGCCAAAATGGGAACTTCTGAGCCTTGTGATACAGCATACCACTCAAGAACTCTGGGAGAGTTATCCTAAGGCTTCCTACTTATTCTAACCATAGATGATTTTTCTTCTGAAGGAGTTTGGTCAGTTAGCTGTTTCTTGAATGATTCTGGACCATTGCAGGGCTGGTGCCTCTCTCTGACTTGATCTCCCTGTCATCTCCCCGTCTCCAGGGCCGGGTGCCATTTGCTGTACCTGACAAAGTACTGTGGCCCCAGCTGTGCGAGGCTCTCAACATGAAGTTCAAGGCAGAAGTCCAGAGCAACCGAGGCCTGACGAAGGAGAACTTGGTGTTCCTGGCTCAGAAACTGTTCAACAGCAGCAGCAACAACATGGAGGATTACAACAGCATGGCCATCTCTTGGTCCCAGTTCAACAGGGTGAGGGAAATGGGGGTCAAACAACTGTACACCTCGGGAGAATCATTCACGATAGATGCCTTGGGGAGTTTTCTTCCAATCCTGTTTCCAGGGCCTCTACCTTTCATTAACAAAGGGCAGCTCTTTTGGGTAAAAGGGCTTCCTGAAACTCATCCAGATTTTGGGTGGAATAGAGAAAATGTTACTGAACTCGAAGTTCTATTACTTGCATATCTTAAGCAACTGGACTTATGAGTGCATATAGTCAGTTTTAGTCCTTTGTAATAGAATATATAGAATGAAACAAAATATGAACAAAACTGTAGAGAAGAGAAGTGTTAGGACAAGTATGTGTTTTATGGCAGCTAGGTGGTATGTGGATAGAGCACCAGCCCTGAAGTCAGGAAAGCCTGAGTTCAAATGCAGCCTCGGACATTTAGTAGCTGTGTGACCCTAGGCAAGTCATTTAACCCTGATTACCTCCCAAGACACACCAAAAAATAAATAATAAAGATGATACATTATAGAATGTGATGAGACAAAGAAGTACAGTCAGGCAGTGCTGTCATCTGGAGGGGCTGTGGATGTCAGGGAAGACTTCATGGAACTGAGGTGCTGGGCTTCAGCAGAAGAAAAGAATTTCAGACTCCCTCCTGAATTTGCTCTTTTGGGTAGCTGGCCTGTTGGTAAAACTCAGAGGCATAGATTCATGAAAGTAGGATGTCACAGATGGTCACTTTCTATTTATTTGTTGTAACTACAATTTTAAAAAAAGACTTGAATTCCAAATGTCTTTCATACTCCCCCACCCTCTTCCCCCTTGCCCAGCATTTTAAAAAGTTGTTTTGTTGTGTCAAAACACAGGAGAACCTACCTGGACGGAATTATACTTTCTGGCAGTGGTTTGATGGGGTGATGGAAGTGTTAAAAAAACATCTCAAGCCTCATTGGAATGATGGGTGAGAGTCTTCGTTACTTGGCTAGAAATAAAGGAAAAAAGCTCTCCTTTTAGAGAACAAAACTTCAGATGGTTTCTTCTCCTTTTGTCTCTGTGATTAGGGCCATCTTGGGTTTTGTGAACAAGCAGCAGGCCCATGACCTACTCATCAACAAACCAGATGGGACCTTCCTGCTTCGATTCAGTGACTCTGAAATTGGGGGCATCACCATTGCCTGGAAGTTTGACTCTCGTAAGTATTCTCCCTTTGCCTTCCCCAAATAAAACAACCAAACCACCACCAAAAAGGTGGTTAGTTACTTTTTTTGGTAAAATTGTTTCTCTGTCAATTGAGAAATTAAGCAGCCTTCATTACACAGCATCCCCAAAATTACCTTATGCTGCTTTGGGGGAGAAAAGTCATTTTCTTAATATTTGTTATAGTAAAAAAAATTTCTTAAATCATAGAGATGCTTTTGGTACAATTTCAATTAGTTCATTTTAATTATGCCATCATTACTTACTAAACTAAGGGCTTTATCATTGGTTGTCCCTATCTAGTCCTGAACTTGGAAGTAATACTTTGAAGAGCTTAGGGATTCTGCTGGTTTTTATCTTTCGTGTTGTGAGCAAATAAAAGTAAGCATAATAAACTGTAGTAATACAAGTTATCATTCTTACATGCCAACAAATGTATTTTGTTTTTTAAGATGCAAGAGGTGAAAAAAGTAAGAATTAATTTCCTCCCAAGGGAAATAGCCTAGTATTAGGACTTGAGAACTGTATTTGATGAGGGTTATTCACACTTAGCACACCTAAGGAAAATGTGTGTATTCTGTGGTCATTGACCCTAGTCATTATCTCAGATGTAACCTGAAGGTGGCTCCCAGGAGGGGCCTTGTGGAAGACAGTGTTCTGTAATATTGGAGGACTTGGGGAAGGGAGAGGTTCCCTGCTCCACTTTTGGAGTGTCATTTTTCTATTTGTTGATTTAGAGGAGAGGATGTTTTGGAATCTGATGCCTTTTACCACCAGAGACTTCTCTATCCGGTCCCTGGCTGACCGCTTGGGAGATCTGAATTACCTTATCTACGTGTTCCCTGATCGGCCAAAAGATGAAGTATACTCCAAGTATTACACACCAGTTATGTGCGAGTCTGCCACTGGTAACAGAATTCAAATTTTGATCGAGTTTTGATGTGTCTTGTTGCTGGCTCTTTATCTTATGTAGCAAGATGTAAACTTAATTTTCAGTTACTCTTGGATTTTATGCAGTTTATACAATATCCATGACAAATGTTAATTATGGATTCTCTCTGCCACCCCACCCCTAATGTCAGTATCTTAGGGAATGAATGGTAGCATATACCAAGCAAAATTGAGAAGGCAAATCATCCAGGAGGAAAGAAATCATATTGCAAATTTCAAAGCTAAATGATGTTTAATTACATGCAATTTTTAATATATGCATCTGCTTCCCTCTTTTAGCATTTATAGCCAAGAATTTCTTATATCTATCTCCAAATGATTTCTTTTGGCCAATTCTTTTGTTTAATCTCCTTTACTATTTTGTCACTGCTTGGAGGGAACAGAGTTGCCCAAAAGATGTGAAATGCAGTACTGGTTATCAGGTCATAAAGTTCTTTGGTCCTGAGTAGGTCAAGTTAAGGCACTTGCAAACAGATCTTAAGAAGCTTATTAACCATAAAGCATCTTGGACCTTGAAGCTGTTGAATAACTGCTGAACTTGATCCGAGATGTTGATTCAAACCCTAGTTTTGCTAGTTACTGGCTGAATGAGCTTGGACACGTCATGTAACCTCTGTGAGCCTCAGTTTCCTCATCTGTAATGTGAGAATGGGGGTATTGTGAGGATCAAGTGAGCACGCAAAGCCCCTTGTAATGGTCAGGTGCTCTATGAATGTGAGCAGTTAAGTCAGACTTCTGCTTGTTCTTATTCTTGCTTCCAGGATATAATGCTAATTTTCTATTTCTGAATGTGGCTTTCCATAAATTAGTCTTTCACATAAAGACCAGAAGTTGAATAGCTCAGTTTTAATCCTGAGGCTACTCCCCCCTAAAACAAGTTATGTGAAACATGAGAGAAATAGCCAACATTTTTTAAAAAGTCATTGCATAAATGGTACTCACCTGGAGTGAGTGGGCGAGTGTCTTTTTCTCAGAATGCCATGAAAATGCCAAATTCTCCACTGCAGGAAGCATGCAGGCAGGCAGATGAATGGGGGAGGTACATTTTCCTTTGGGGTGAGCATATCATTGATGTTTAATTTGGACCTGTAGTATTGAAAATCTGATTTGTGATTGGGGGAAGTTAGTTAAATATGCCAATTAATTATACCAGTGAAGCCTTAATTTGCATTCTCTGCAGTGAGGTTTCATTTGTCCCTGACATTCTTGGTTAAAATTGGAGGCTAGGTCTCTGGGTGCCTTTCTGTCTTATAATCCTAAGAGGGAGGCCATATCTGAAGAAGACTGCATATCTACCCACTTGTAATCACCATTGTCCTCAATCCCCTTCTCCTTTCTCTCCTTGGCAGCTAAAGCTGTGGATGGCTATGTGAAACCACAGATCAAGCAGGTGGTCCCAGAGTAAGTGCCCAGCTCATATTCACATTTTGATTCTTATCTCCATTTATCATCCCCTATGCCACATATACCCAAACATATTATATAAATGCCCTGTCCAGTCCTTTCCCAGGAGGACTTGCTAGGCCTGGTTGTTGGGCGGGATCTTGCTTTTGTCCTGACATACTAAGGGCTCCAAACCACAGCTCCTTTTCTCAAAACATATGACATACTTCCCCTTCCTAGCTAACCTCCAGTACAGAAGCCCCAGGATTACCAATTTACACCACCCCAGACTCAACCAGTAGTACATAAAAAAGCTGAGCCCCCCCAAAATGAGAAGCAGTGGAGACGGGGCAGATTTGAGTTTTCTTAAGTAATGCTGAGCTAGCATAGGCAGCCGTGGGGATAAGCTATAGGCTAAATTTAGCAAAGGCAAGCATATTTTGCTCAAAGCTCAAGTCCTGGAACCATAGAAAGGGATTCCTAGAGTCTTAGAAGCAGAGGAAGGGGCTACTAGGCTGTCTTTCTCCCTGTAGGCCTGTTTCCACTTCAGTCCTTCAGGCTGGTTGGGGTCTGAGGTTCTGTTTTTTCTTCTTCCTCCAGGTTTGTCAGTGCATCTGCAGATTCTTCAGGGGGCAGTGCCACATACATGGATCAGGCCCCATCCCCAGCTGTGTGCTCCCAGTCTCATTATAATATGTATCCACAGAAGTAGGTTGTGTTCTCTTAGGGGCCCAAGGAGGTGGTGACCAATGTTGAGCTGTCAGGGTCCCCCCAGTGGGCTGGAGTTTATTGGTTTAAGTGGGGATTAGTGAGCTAAAGAGCCCAGACCTGTCCCAGTCTATTCAGATGGAAAATGCCAGTGGTCATTCTAGGAGTAGGGGTGGGCTATTAGTTGCTCCACATTGTCCATTAGCAATTGTCCTTCAAACCAGTTGTTCCATGGCCTGGGAGGTGGTTTAATTTGGGTCACTGGATACAGCTTGATTAAATCAGTGGCTCTTCATTTCCCCATGGGGTAAAAATCAGCTCAGAGCAGAGGAGTGAGGGCAGTGCCATCAGGTTACCAAAGACCTGGGATTAACTGGGGGATGGGGTTTCTTTTTAGATTCTGACAATTTCTCTCTTCCTTCATCAGCCCTGACTCTGTCCTTGACCCAGATGGGGATTTTGACCTGGACGACACTATGGATGTAGCAAGACATGTTGAAGAACTCTTACGCCGACCAATAGACAGTCAGTGGATTCCCCATGCTCAGTCGTGACCCCTGATCCCTCCACCCCATAGCTCTTCATCCCCCAGCCGGAGGATCACTCTTGTGGATGTTTAATTCCATGAATCGCTTCTCTTTGGAAATAATACTCATAATGTGAAGTGTTAATACTAGTTGTGACTTTAGTATTTCTGTGCATGGTGATGCCAGTGGGGTGGGTGTGAGTGTGTGTGAGTGTGTGTATGTATATTCAAGTGAGGTATTGTTCTTCCCCTTCCCTCCTTTCTGTCCAAGATTTGGCTGCATTTATCAGGACCTTAGGGACTGTGGCCAATTTCTCTTTACTAAAAGCCAGTTCTTGGGAAAGTCTGAGCTTTGGCTTTGGGAGGGTGGGGATGAGTAGGGGTGGAAGGGAGGTTGCATCTCCTAATCAATGACTTATGTTGCTGTTTCAGCCAAATATTACAGTCAAAAATTTAGAAGTTGTTGCCTTTAACTATCCTCTGAAATTTCGATCACTGCCTTTTAACAGAAAAAGCCAGGTTTTCTTTCTTTCTTTTTTTTTCCTAGGTAGGGTTGGGAAATGATGACAGTTTGAAAAGGTAGATGGAGTGGGGGAAAAAGTTATGGGTTTTCTGTTTGGGGGTTGATCTTTTTAAAATGCCACTTAGCACATACAAATTCACCTTTTTGTGTGGATTTGCTCCTTTGCGGGAGTGAGAACGCATGCATGCATGAATGTTTGGGGATGTGTATGTTTGACACGGGTATGAGAAAAACTAGCCATAGATGTACATGCTTGTAGTACTGATATCCTGTGCATTTGGGCTATGGTGGAATACTAGATATTAACTTCCCAGGGTTAAAAACAATAATTTGTTTCCTGGGGTAACCCACAATTTGGATCTGATCATTCAAAGACTTTTCCTTCCCTGCTCATTCTCTGGAATGTTGGATACTAAAGTGTGAGGGTTTGTTTGGTTTTTTTTAAAGGATCACTTAAAGGGTTATGGATTTTATAAATGTTAGGTGCCCTTTAGTTTTTTCTAAAATGTATCCTCTTCATTTGCCTTCTGCCTCTCCCCACTCACAGATGTCATCAGAATTGTCTTTTTTTGCCTCCAAGTCCTATGCCAGTCCTATGCCCATTGTCACTTGTGTTTCCTTCCAGTGTTTACACCAGTGTCTTGAAGATTTGATGGCATGAATGTCACCTGAACCAAAGGCTAACTTGTTGAATTTGAAGTCCATGGTCCACCTATTGTGTGGTTGTGGGCAGTGATAGAAGTTTGGGGGGTGGGGTTTGGTTTATTTGTAAAGTTTTTTATTTTATTTTGGTTAACAGGAAAAAAGGGAAAAAATGAAATTAAGCCTAGCATAATTTTGACTCATGGCAGTTTCTTCAGTAGTTTCTTACTACTGGGGAGATGTGGTCTGTGGCTGGAATGTGTAGTTGGACATAGGTTGGGGAGTGAGCAGACACAGCCTATGGGTGAAGCCTATGAGGTTCTTCCCCCAACCCCCTCTCTCCAAAAGAAGGGCACATGGCCATACCCAGGAGAGTATGTCACTAAAAACCTTATTTTTATACTTGCTAGTAAATAAACAGATATTTTTTTAACAAAAAAGTTATGAATTTATCAAGTATCTTGATGTTGATGGAGAAATATTCCTCTTTAGTAAAGTATTTATTGGAAGGTAACTTTTTAAAAGCCTCTGTGTGTTAGCCTTGGCTCGGTTTTATATGTTGATTATTTTTTAACCTGGGCATCCACACTCTGGCATTGCCAGGCAATAGGAGCATCTCTTTGCCCCTCCTGGGAGAAGACTGAACTCTCCAGGAACACCAGCATTGGCTGTGGGATGCTGTTCACTCCAGGATGTGGGCTTAATTAGGACTCCAGTCCTGAAGGTGGAGGAGGGGGGAAAAGAGGAAGGGGAAAATCTGTGTTTCCTAGGTACCCAGGCCTTTCATAAAGAATCTGAGAAATGCCTCTCTAGCTTTCTCACTTCCTGATTACCCCTTCTGAACAGGCTTAGGAGTCTCAGGCCCTGGGGTGAGACTTGGTCCCTCCTGGAGTGTTATGGCATGAGAATGCAATTCATGTTCTGGCAGCCTGTGCCCACCAGGGGGCAGCACGAAAATAGGATCATGTCTGAGGTGGACTGGGAAAGAGCTGAGCAAGGGAAAACCATAGAAATGTGTCCCTCTTTCCTGGGCTCCGCCCAGTTCCACGCTGAAGATGGTTCTAGGAAGCGGTGATACTCTTAACTCTCACTCACTCCCGCAATTGCAGTTCTCCAGGGACACCAGGCTTCCCAGATAGCGTGAGACCTGGCACTTGCTTAGCTGCTCTCACTCTTCCAGAAGCTGCTCCTGCAAGACATTTTGGACTGAAATATATAGTTTTCCTTCTCCCCTTCCCTCCTTGCAAAATACAGAGCCAAACTTTTGTTCACGCTGATTATTGATGAAAGTCATGTTTTGACCATTTCCCCTCCCTCTTTACCCCCCTCACAAAACAGCAGCAGAAATGTTTCAACGGTATGTGGTATACACAGGGTTTTGTGAGGGTGGGAATACCCGAAAAGTGAGTATAATTTAAATAAGAGAATACTTTTGATAATTTTTCTTTTTAAAACTTTGTGAAATTATTTCAGATACATATTTTAGTGTTGAAGCAGATTCATATATATATATATATATATATATATATATATATATATATATATATATATATATATATATATATATAGCCAGCCACCAATAAAGTATTGTGTACAATTTTGGGCAGTCACAAAATTGTGTATTTTATGTTACAATAAAAGCCTCCTGAAGAGACAATACCTTTTTCCTTTGATTTCTTTTTCCCATATATCTCCAAAGTTTTGGGGTGGGGGTGGTGAGGGCAGCAGCACAGGCGAGGCTGTATGAGCCTGGGCTGTTTCAAACTGAGACAAAATTGAGATGTGTCTGAACTGCTGGAAAAGGGGATTTGATCAGCTCAGGAGAATGGATTCTTGAGTGGTCATCTGGATCTACCCCCTCCTTAGGGATAAATCCACATCCAAACCATCTCAGACATCCAATTTTTAAGTTTTGGAGAAGGTTCCATCCTTCTTTAATGCTTAATTCCAGGCATGTCAGCCTTTCCCATTCAGAACGTTATTTATATTCAATTCAATTCTACAGATGTGTACCTGTTAGCTGCATAAGGACCCCAGAGTTTCAGAGGCCCCCAAATTTATCACCATGAAGGCAGCCTGCTAATAAGCCATTCCAAATTTAGCTAGGCCTCTCCTCCTATGATGAATGGGAAGTCAGTCCATCACCCAGCTTTCACTCATAACACTTCCAGCTTGTTAAGGCCTCATGAAACTTTATTGCACTGACAACCCCAAGATTTTATATGTGATATCAATCCTCACCATGGCTACTTTAGCTAGTCCTCCTTGCATCTGTCTTTACCAAGAACCTAAGGGATTACCTGCTCTCGTCAATTTGTGTCCCTCTCCCAGTTTTATGTATTATGGGTGTTACGGCATAACCACAGTGCAATGAATGAGCTTCAGATTAGGGCAACCATCTTCCTAATCAGAAAAAAATATGACCTATTTTGCCCTGATGCTTCTTCTCTCATTAGATTTAAAGATCATTCCAGCAGCTGCCTAGACATTGCCCCCCCTAGAATTAGAGAATCTTCCAAACATCATGCAAGGGCCTGGGTTCAAAACCTGACTGCTCCTTACTACCCATGTGACCTTAAATACCTTACTTCTCTGGGATTCAAGTTTCCTTTGTAGAATGAGGATTGCAGCATTTCAAAGTAGAAGGGACTCAGTAGCCTTCTACACTAAGACACATCTGGAAAGGAATAACACTACAACATGCCCCATACTAGGTCATCCAACCCTTGCTTGAAGAACTCACTATTTCCCAATGTAGCTCTTTCCAAACTTGGATAGCTCTAATTGTTAGGAAGTTTTTACTGATGACAGGACTAAAATTATTTCCTTTTAACTTCCACTCAGAGCTCCTAGTTATGCTCTTTGGGGCCAAAGGGAACAATTCTAATCCTTCACCCACAGGACAGCATTTCAAGTATTCGAAGATAGCTGTCCTCCCTACTCCCCTTCCCACTCTACTCTTCCAAGCTAAACAATCTCAGTTCTTTCAATAGATCTTCACAAGCCTTAGCTTGGCCTCCTTTAATGACCATCCTCTTCGTATATTCTTCAGTTTATCAATATCCTTTCTAAAATGTAGCATCCCAAACTGAATGTAGAATTCTGGATGTGGTCTGGCCTTGGCTGCACACAGCCAGACTATTATCTCCTTATTCCTGGAACCAGTGCTTTTCCATGCAGCCCGAGATTATATTGGCCTTTTTTGACTGCCGTTATCAGTGTTAATTTACTTGAGCTTTCAATCCCCTAAAATCCCCAGATGTTTTAAAAAATGTTGCCTAGCCATTCTTCCCCCACTTTTGTACTTATGAAGTTGATTTCTTAAATCCAAAGGTAAGACATTTTTCCTTATTAAATTTAATCTTTGTTTCAGCCCAAGATTCAGCCTTTCAAGTATTTTTTTGATCTTAGTAGTTATCTAGTGTGTAACCCATCCCTTTGCCATCTTCAAGTTTGATAAAGTTGTCTTTATCAAGTCACTGGTAAAAATGTTGGATATCATGGGGGACACTTTATTGGATACACTCTTCCAAAGCCATCTTTTACAAAAGAATAGAATGAGTTACTTTTTCAACTGCTTTGCTAAAATCTAGTAAGTTTTTCTCAAGTCAGCTAGGTAACTGCCTCCAAAAAAAAAAAAAAAAGGAAATGAGATTTATCTGGCATGGCCTGGTTCGGTTTTTTTCTTTTAATTATATTTTATTTTCTGGTCTATATTCTCTCCAACCCATCTCCTCTCCCCCCCACCCCCAACTGAGAAACAAAACCTATTACAAACATATGTAGTTAAAACACATGCTCAGGTTGGCTATGTGCCAAAAAAAAAAGTCTCAGTCTTCACTTTGAATCCATTACCTCTCTCACTGAAGATGAGTAGCATGTTTCTTCATGAATCATCTGGAATTGTGATTGGTCATTGTGTTGATCAGAGTTCCTAAATCTCTCAAAATTGTTTGTCTTTACAATGTTATTGTCATTATATAAATTGCCCTCCAACTTCTACTCATTTCATTTTACATCAGTTCATACAAGTCTTCCCAGGTTTCTCTGAAATCATCCCCTTCGTCATTTTTCTTACAGCACAATAGTATTCACATTCATTCACTAACTCATTCATCATTACTCAATTAATAGGCACCCCTTCAGTTTCCAGTTCTTTGGCATGATAGCCTGTTCTTCCCCCCCCCTTTATTTATTTTTAACATTCATTTTTTACAAATTTCAAGTTCCAAATTCTCTTCCTCCCTCCAACCCCTGCCCCACCCATTAAGAAGGCAAGCAAAATTATATCAATTACACATGTGAAGTCATACAAAATATTTTCATATTAGCCATGTTGGGGAAAAAAAAGCAAGAAAAAGAAAGTGGAAAAAAGTATGCTTCAGTCTTCACTCAGAGTTCATGAATTCTCTCTCAAGAGGTAGATAGAATTTTTCATCATAAGTCCTTTGGAATTGGCATGGATTATTGTATTGTTTGGGATAGTAAGTCTTGACCATTGTTACAGTGTTGCTGTTACTGTGTACGGTGTTCTCCCATTTCTGCTTTCTTCACTTTGCATCAGTTCATATAAGTCCTCCCAGGTTTTTCTGATACCATTTTGTTCCTTGTTTCTTATTGCATAATAGTTTTCCACGATGGCTTATTCTTTTTTTTTCTGCACTTAATAGTATCTTATTTTTTCCAATTACATGTAAAGATGGTTTTCAGCATTCATTTTTGTAAGATTTTGAGTTCCAAATTTTTCTCCTTCCCTTCTTTCTCTCCCCTTTTCCCAAGACAGTAAGCAATCTGATATAGTATACATGTACAATCATGTTAAACATATTTCCACATTAGTCTTGTTGTGAAAGAAGAATCAGAACAAAAGAGAA